CCCAGCCCACCAGTCCGCCACTCCACACAGCACACACACACAACGCGACGAACTGCGTGAACCGAGAACGGGCGTCAATCAGCAACCTTCCTATCCACGACACTTGAAGTGTCGGGATAGTCTCGGACTCAAATCACCCGTGCAGCCGAAGCCGCATGGGGACCGAGTCGGGATGCACACTTCCCACTTGCGTGGAAGGTGGCAGTTGGTGCATGCAGTGGGTGGGTGTTGATGCGTGTTGGTGATGGTGGAGGAGGGTATGTAGTGTGTGGATTTGTGGTGTAACCGGCGGCTGTCTACCGCAGGTCGTCGTGGATGCGCATGTGGCCGAATAGGACCATGCGTTGCCGGAAAGTGCGAGGACAGTGTGGGCAGTTGAGTCGAGCTTGCTGGGTGTAGGTTGGTGCTCCAGGCCCTGGTTCTCCGGTCTCTGCGCGATGGATTCGCAAATGACCGACCAGGCCGATGCGTGAGGTGAATGTGCGTGGACAGTGTGGACATGTGAATTCGGCGGTGTCAGTGTCAGCCACAGACGAGGCGTTGGTGGTGGCGCAGATGGACGGTGCGAGGGTGGTGCGGGGCATGATGGGCGTGGTTGGCGTGTCGGAATTTTGGTCAATTCCGCTCTCGTGAATACGCATGCGGCCGAATAGACCTATGCGAAGCCTGAAGGTGCGAGGGCAGTGTGGGCAGTGGAGGCGAGTGCGGTGGGTGTAGGTTGGTGCTCCAGGCACTGGTTCGCCGGTCTCTGTGCGATGAATTCGCAACTGACCGACCAGGCCGATGCGGGAAGTGAAGGTGCGATCGCAGTGAGGGCAGGTGTAGTCCTGATTCTCATAGCTGGAGTCGGGTGAGGCGGGGGTGGTGCCGGTTGTTGTGTCGCGGTTGTTGATGTGCGAGACGGCTGCCTGAGCGGCCGCCGTTGAGGCAGTGGTGGCGGGGGAGGAGGAGGATGGAAGTGGTGGTTCAGAAGAATTGTCAGTCAGTTGGCGGTGGAGAGGAGGAAGAGGCGTGCGGGGGGCCGATGGTTGGTGCAGTTCGAGAGGCGCAGTTGATCCGAACATGTCCAACAAGTCCGATTCTACCCCGGAATGTCCGTTGACATCGAGGGCACGTTGGAAGCGGTTGTGCGGCGGCGTTGCGTACTGGACGAATTTGTGATTTGCGGGCTTCACGTTTCGCTTTGGCGGCAGCCATGCGATTGGCTTCGTGGATCGCAGCGCCTGTCTTCACTGTCCTCCTCCATGTCGGTCAATCGAGTGCGAGCTCCTCCCAGTTGGTGGGGTTGATTTGCAGACCGAAGTTCTCGCAGGCGGCGGTGAATAGGTCCATGCTGCGTTGCATCTCCTATTCCGAGGTGGTGTTCAGGGCGCAGTCGTCGGCGAAGAGAAGTTTGTGAACGGTGGTTGTGGATACGCGCGATTGGAATTTCATGAGCCGTTGATTCAGGAGATGACCTTCCGTCCTGTAGGCGATGCGGATCCCGGGGCGTTCGTCGCGGTAGGCGTCCATCAGCATGACAGAGAACATAAGACTGAAGAGGGTTGGCGCTAGCACGCATCGCTGCTTCACTCCGTTGGTCACTGCGAATGCCTCTGAGACAGCTCCGTTGTTCGTGACTCGCGCCATCATACCGTCGTGCAGCTGACGCACCATCTGAGTGAATCGCTCCGGACAGCCGAATTTCTGCATGATCTTCCACAGTCCTTCACGTTTCACCGTGTCGAAGGCTTTCATCAGGTCCACGAGGGTAGAGTACAGGTGGGTCCGCATCTCCTGACGCTTCTCCTGAAGGTGACGGGTAGCGAAGATCATATCCCCGGTGATTGTCGCAGATTTGGCGATTCCCTTTTCGCTTCTAGATATGCACGATGGTTGCGTCTTTGAAGTCTTGCGGGACATCGCCTTGACGCCACATTTCCTGGAAGAGCGCAGTCAGGTGATCCATCAGTAGGGGACATCCGTGCTTGTAGACCTC